ACCATCAGATTAGAAATCAAATGCTCTACCTGCTCTTTCCAAGGCGGGCAGTGCCACTGACTGAAGTGTCTTTAGGCCATTCCCAAAAGGGGGATATTAACATCTCGAGTTCTTATGCACAGTAGAATTGTAAATGGGTTCATCAATGTCATGCTCATAACTGAGCCTGATCTATAATAGGGAACTGCTGCTTTTTCTTTCCTAATCCTTACTATCGTCATTGTCCTCTACTTCTTTTGCATGTTTGTCACACTCTTGTTTCCCACTATTTCTGAGTTGTCTTGATAGTCGAAACAGACTTTGTACTGTTGAAGCAAGAGAGGTGAGCAGAGTAAGTCTGATTCCCTGTAAGGACTTCTCTGTTGACATCCACCCCTTGGCGCTCATATGACCTAATGCAGTTGTGAGCACCGTAAAACCTCTACTAAAACAAACTTCTATCTGCTCAGTACCTATTTTGGACAAATTTGACGTCAAAGATTTTGAGCTCCACATCATATCAAGCTTTTTCGGATGCAATTCTTTGAATATCTTGATGATAACGACACCGAATAATCTTATGATTTAGATAGAGCAGACAGAACATTTGGTTTCTGATTTCATATTCTTAAGCTCAAAACAGCCAAAGTTGTCAGACAGAACTTTGTAATTCTGATGTGGCGATTTGAAAGAAAACCCAAACTTTACGGCAACAACACATTAAAGAAAACCCAAACTTTACGGCAACAACACATTAAAGAAAACCCAAACTTTACGGCAACACATTAAAGAAAACCCAAACTGTAACGATGCACACTTCAGGATAATGGGAGAAAAAACAACCTAGAAGGGTTAAAAACCAAACACAACTAAAAACAACAATTATTGGTTTGATGAACGAGACAATATATAAGAAAAAAAATTCCTTAGAAGCAAGAAAAACCCAGACAGCTATTTATTTGGTTAAACATAATAACAACAAGAAAACAAAACTATGAATAAAGACAGCAAAAACTATGAATAGACCTACACACTTCGAAATTAACATGACCATACAGAACAATAAAAATAGCATCGTGGACTGTTTTAACCACTTCGAAAATAAATATTATTAATCTTTCCCCCAATTTAATGAGGATACTGTCACTGTGTGTGTGTCTTACTGCGATAGTTTTCTGTCCGTTCGGAGCAAATGTGAGACATCTGGAGTCGTAGACGAAGTAATAAATTGTGTGTTGGCTTCTTCCTCCGTCGATTGTGACGGTGAGGGTGATGTTGATGGACGGAGAGCCTGTTGGAGATAGAGATGAGACAACTTTATTGTTGTAGTAGAGGTTTTACGGCGCTCGCAACTGCATAAGGTCATATGAGCGCCAGAAGATTAGAGGTGTTACAAGAGAGTAACAAACATAAAAAGAAGGAGGGGAGATAGATGTTTGATAGGAAAGAAGAAGCAAACCACACCAGAGCACCCGCCAACCACCCACAGAGAGAGACAACTTTAGAATATACAATCGTAGACACTCTGTGGCATTTAAACACATAGCTAAACGATAATAAATGTATAAAAAAACAAACAAACAACAACGCTAGCTCAACC